ACAAGAACAAACTGGGAGGAGGGTAGAGAGAATAGTGCAACAATGAATGAATGGAAACCCAAAATCTCTGTAAATGTTTATGAAAATTAATAAAATATAGGAAAAAAAAAGATCTCACATGTTCCAATATACCACAATGTTTTAAGAGGGTTTAAGGTGGAATGCAACATCCCTTAAACTCATCACAGCCTTGGGGTGTGGAAAGCAAACCAAGAGATAGGTTCTCAGTATCAAAACCAGCAGAGAAGGGCTTCCATGAGAACAGGAACTTGGATATCACACCTCTTTAAACTGTGAGAGAAAACATCTCTGCCTGCTAAATTCCCCTATTATTAATAGCACAAGATCATTAAAACAAAAGATGACTAAGACAGCTCATCCCATGCCTGCAGAGAGCTTTCAAATATCAAACTTAGGGGCAGCAATGTAGTTCAGTACAGTAAAGGGGATGAAGAGCATGGTCAACTCAGGAAACCTGGTCTCAATACGTGGCACTAACCATGAGCTCGTGGCACTAACCATGAGCTGACTGAGTATCCCTGAGAGTAACCGCTGTGTGTCTTGGCAAAGTAAGGATCAGGTGTAGTCAAGAAAACTTTTAACTCTATAGAGGAGGCTCCAAGGCTCCTGTGGGCTAAACAAAGCTGTACAGGAACACAACCAGCCCTTAACAGGTATGTTGTCTGTGTTCACTTATGTCCCACAAAAACAGAAGCTTCTGGCAGGGACAAGATGGCCCACAAAGTCTGAGATATCTCCTGCCTGTCCCTGCCCTGCAATATTCAAATGACACCACTTTGTTTGCAGAAAATGAAGACTTAAAGGACTTAATGCTTAAGCTCAAGAACTATGGTCTTCAGGATGGTTTTATATCTCAATGTAAAGAAAACAATTTTCACAAGAAGACCAATGAACAATGTTACAATAAATGGGGAAAAGACTAAAGTTGCCAATGATTTCCTTTTTCTTGGATCTACAATCAACATCTATAGTAGCAGCAGTCAAGAAATTAGATGACAATTATTCTGAGGAGCGCAGGCCTTCTAGGTGGCTCTGGTCACCTAGTGTACTGCCAAGTGTTTGGCTGTAAGCTAAGCCATGGGGGTGAGTTGTGAAAGGGGAGTAAAGGCTCAGCAATTCCACCAGTCTCTAGCAGACCAGTGAGCCTGGCCTTTTTAATGTTTCTGTCTTCTGTTTTCCATTTCTCTGACTTTCTAAAGGCTCTTCTACTGTGAGCCCTTTTAGAACAAAAGCAATGGTAGGGTGGGAACCATGCAATTTTTCTAGTCTTAGGTGTAATTACATTGTGGGTATTATAATTAACATTATAAAATATCTATGAATGGTTGAGTGGGAAAATAATTTGCTGCGTAAACTTTCATGCAAATTACTATTTTTTTAAAAAAATTAAATGATGTATTATAATGAGCAAACCTTTCAAGTGGTAAAGAGCAAGGCTATAACTTTAAAGAATTAGGTGTACATGACCCAAGTCATGAGATTTTCAGTTGCATTATATGCATGTGAAAGCTGGACAATGAATAAAGATCAAAGTAAAACTGTGGTGCTATTGAAGAGTATTGAATATATTACAGACTGCCAAAAGAACAAATCTATCCTGGAAGATGTGTAGTTGGAATGTTCCTTACAAGAGAAGACTGAAAAGAAGAAAAACCAACAACAAACCAAAACCCCAAAACAAAATGTATATGAATAACTGGATAGATAATCAAACTGCTTTGTAAACTTTCACAAAATTACAATAAAAATAAAATAAAGGAAAAAAAAAAGGAGCAACGATGGTGAGACTTGTCTCCCATACATTAGGCCTGTTAGCAAGGGGCCAGTCTCTGGAGAATGACGTTTTGCTTTGAACAAAGGAGAAAAAGATCCTCAATGAGACAGAATGGTGCAGTGACTCCAATAGTAGGCTTTCTATGTCAACTTTCACTCAAATCACTAAAAAAAAAAAAAAGAAAAAA